AAGATAAAATGTTTATCAATATGGTATGATCTTGTATTAGTTTTGTATAGTCTGTTTCAAACAGATAATCACAGTGCACATAAATGATTTTTACAAATATTGTCATCATGTATATATATATATAAGGTTTGTGGAAATTGTAGTAATTTAATGATTGGATCCGTGAGACGATTCAAGCTAGACCACCTCGGAAAACCTGGAATAACTAAGTGGCCGTATCATTCACAGGGCGGGATCCTGGATGTCCACTGCTGAATAGTTCCATAATAAAACGAAACGGCCGTCTAACGCTTCTAAGTTTTCCATGGTGGTCTAGCTTGAATGGACTCAGTAGTTCAATCATTATATATATATATATATATATATATATATATATATATATATATATATATATATATATATATATATATATATATATATATATATTATCATGATTTTATTAGTAAAAGTCTTTTATATTTCAGAATTAAATCTACCATACAGATAGAATGTTTAGATAATTTAATGTAAATACAAAATATTATCGATTTAGATATTTGGACATTTATCTATTTTTCATCTCTCCATATTGTATAACTTAATTTAATGGATAAATTATACATTTTTCCCCTACATATGCAATCAGTTATTATGAAGCTGGTGCACGTTTGTTATTTTTTTAATCGTAATGATGTTGGCAATGATAATAATGATGAGTATTATCAATAATGTCGTCGTGTACGAAGGAAAATGTAATTTTTGTTTTGTTTTTTTTTGTTTTAGTAAAAGAAAAACGTAAGAATAAAATATTGTTGGATTAGTAATAGGGAAAAGTGAATAACATCGAGGAGGTCCATCATGAAACATTCAATAGTTATTCTCTAATTAATTTGTTTGTTTATTTGTAGTGAGTAAATATCAAGTAACCGGTTTTTTTAATTATATTCCTTTATATAGTATTATTTCTGACTTTCTTTTCAAATGAATAATTATTGAAACCCTGAATCGATTGATGTTAGACCACCACTGAAAACCTGAAAGCACTGGACTGCTGTCACATCCTAGTATGACACCCCTCAGACGTGAGCATCCACGATTCCGCATGCGGGATTCGAACCAAGGACCTATCAGTCTCGCGCGCGAACGCTCAACCTCTATATAACTGAGCCGGCATCCAACCGTGTTCATGTCTAACAACAACCAAGTCATGAAATTTCACGACCATCTTCCATTGTACTGAGTTAGATACCTGTCTCTATCTTACAAGAATTAGTTCCACTGGTCACGGCTTCTCTCTAGAATTCCGAGAACGCTCTCACGAAGCCAGTCACTAATGAGCAAATGGTGATTAGCAGTAAAAGGTTGTGGCTTAAAAGTATCTCACTGGTTATAAAATTTGCAGGTTGTCACTTATTTTCCACTTGAGGTCATCCACATCTATTATGTTTTAAACTAGGATGAGTAAACTAATTGTCTACAGCTTCTCATATTTCAGTTTATGCTAGCAGTTATTTTTGAAATAAAGAATTCTCTAGAGTATTTTCTCTTTTACAATTAATGGGGAAAAGTGTTGTATTGTGTTTTTAGGTACTTTTTTTTATTACAGTAGATATTTCTTAAATCATCTGATTAGGTTTTATGTGGTACTTGGAGTTAAGTAAATGAGAATCCTACTCTACATAAATAAATATACGTATATATAACATGAAATGTACACTAATACGTTAATTACTCTTTTCTCTTATCCATCGAACATTCTAAGATGATCTTATCACTACTTTCTACCTTTCCACTTACTTAACATTTTATTAATTCACTAAACGTACTATTTCAACTCCGCCTGGAGCTCTTCTGAGGCTACTGCCGGTCTCAAGCCCGGATAAAGGAGGAAGTTTGGGCATGGAGTTAGCGACCTTATCCCATAGAAAACTAACTCGCTAAAAAAACACTGACCAGAAATGTCCAATTTCACTTTGAGATCTATAAAGACATTCTCTCATGTTAAATTACATTTAAAAAATTATAAATTTTTCGTTAATTAACCTTAATCAACTGAATGCCAAAATATTTATCACTAAATAGTATTTATAAACAAGATATTGATAAGACTTGACTGATGTCGACAGAAAAACATGTGTTCAGTTCATTCACCATGCTGTAAATATTTCCTTTTAAGAAATAACTAATTATCTTATATATTTTTCCCGACTGTTCATAGTATGTATAACAATATACTAGTAATTGTTTTGTCCTAGTTTAGATCACCTCTTCATAAGCTTATATTAAGATGAAACACCAGGTAAGTAATTCTTAACAATGTAAATTAATGATCACTTGAAACCATCTTTATTTAAAGCCTATAATTTTATCAGATCGGACGGGGGATTTCCGGTGCTTCCAAGTTTTCTATGGTGGTTTAGCTTGAATGGACTCATAAATTCAATTATTAAATTGATAAAAATCTCCACAAAATCTTTTTCTGATAATAATCATCATCTGCTCACTAGTGGCTGGCTTCAAAAGGTATTTCCTGGAGTTCTAGTGAGAAGTAGTGACCAGTAAAGTCAACCAGGTCAGTTGTGAGATAGTAACTCACTGAAGACAATAGTAGACGATGGCGCAATTTCGTGGATTGATTGAAGTTCGAAATTAACACCGTTGAATGCCATCTCAGTAGCCTAGATATTAATCTACGCGTGCGGAACCAACAGGTCGTGGGTTCGAATCTCACGAGGCGGGATCATGTATGCGCACCACTGAGGAGTCCCATGCTAGAACGAAATGGTCATCTAGTACTTCCAGGTTTTCACTGGCGGTTTAAGTTTAATGAACTCATAAACTCAACTACTAAATTACCATAAATATATCTTAAACACCTTATTAAAATGGAGCATAGTTACTGATGTTGTTCTTTTTGTTTGTTTCTAACTGGTGTACAGGAGGAACCCAATCATCAACAACAACAACAACAAAAGAGAAATATGAATTCACATCAATAATTTTAATATATATTCGAGAATAATAATTATTTGTTTATGCTTGAAACCATGAGTCAATTGAAGCTAGACCACCATGAAATACCAGGAAGCACTGGACGGCCGTGTCTACCTCAGTACAATGGAAGATGGTCGCGCAATCTCGTGGATTAATTGAGGTTAGACATTAACATCAGTGGTCTAGTTGTTGAAGCGCCTGGCGCAAGACTGATAGGTCCTGTGTTCGAATCTCGTGGGGTTCGGGATCGTGGATGAGCACTGCTGAGGAGTCACACAATAGGATGAAACGGCCGTCTAGTGCTTTCAGAATGTCCATGGTGGTCTAGCTTCAATTGACTCATGATTTCAATCAAAAACTCAACAATCTCCACAACCCCTAAACTGATTATTTGTTTATGTTGTAAAGGAAAAACAAATTTTTTTTAATTTTTATTACAAAAACGTTACTTTTTTAATTAAAATTATGATTAATGGTTTCTTTTGATGTTTCTTTTCATTATAAAATATTGAATTTTTTCGTGAATTTCGATACAGTTATGGTTTATTTTACGTTTTATCTTATTAAAAGAAAAACCTGTTCTGAAAGGTACTTTATAAAAGTAGTTCGAGAAAGTTCTAAGAAGCTCAGAAAAAGTTTAAATGATCCAGTGTTCTACTGACTACGTAGCAAAACTTATCACCTAGTTTTAAATCAACATTCTTACCTAGTCAGTGAATATTCACTCTCATTCACCTATAAATGAAAAAATACACAATACAATGTATTTCACTACGATAACTTCCTAATTATTGATTTTGGCCACGTTTTCTCTAAATAAGGAGTTTTATTTTATGCTTCTAATTTTTGGGTTCACGGAATGAATACGTGCAGTTTGAATTACTGCACATATTACAAACGTATCATCACATCCATGGTGAAGTCAATGAATGAGCACCTCATAGGAGTTCCATTTATTTATTTAAATGCATAAATATTGGTACAAAGAGGTAACAAATAGATATGCGCAACACAAATCATTCGATTTATATAAGGACTAGGATATTGCCCGGGTGCTCAAACCGAGACAAGTGGTTTACTTAGGAGGCCACATCCCGAACATTTAACCCAAAGGTCTAATCCACAAAACAATGGAGCAACGTAAGGAGATACAGTCCTATGGTAGCCGGTGATTAATAATTGGTTCATACACCATTTGTTTCCTTAGGATCCAAAATCCCATGTATAGCATTGCTTTGGAGTGAGGGTTTTCCAACTCGACATTCGCTTTTCGTCCTCGCAATTTCTTAAACAACACCCTCGCTTTGATAACGTGAGGAGTAAGGCTACCCTGTTAATGGTTGTATGCGTGTGGCCATGTGAGAGCATTTGGAAAGGGAGAACTGACTCACCCCCACTTTCGATGTTACCAGGGCATTTAGAGGTTAGGCAACAGTCTAGTGATATCTGATTTACAGTGGTTCACTACTTAGTATCAATCTATAAGAATCACCTATAAAATCCAACAATCTCCATAAGCCCTCCATATTAACAAGGATAATAGCTTAATGAATCGTCATTTCAATCTATTACGTAAATTATTTCTATCGGTTTACTGCTTTAATAAGCGGTAGATAAATAATTTAACTATTGAGATTATTCAACTATTTATGCATATTATGAGACACTTGTTAGCTAGTAACTGAAAATATGACTTATTTCACTATCCCCGTTTTTTATTTCTATTAAAGTAAACAAAATTAAAACGAAACAAAAACAGGTACATTCAACTGAGAGGTATGTCCTGTATTTAGTTCAATCTAAATTACTATAATGATGTTATTATCAATGTTTTTGATGGATCAAGTATATAATTAATTACTTCCTAATCAAATATATACAACTAATTACTTTTTTGGGGTGGGGGGATAATATACTAGACTAGTTCTTGGCATATTGATTATTGTATCACTTGTATCTATGCCACTGAATTCTAATCTCAGATGGCTAATTTAAAAAATTTGTTTTTCCACTGTAGAAAATAATTGTAAACAAGAAAAACTTTATTTTGACTTATATTTGAAATGATCATCACTACACAAATCAATAACATTTACATATTACTATTCTGGAACAGACCAGCTTCCAGCTAAAGAGGAAATTAGGAAAAAACGATGGAAATTGATAGAACATATATTACGCAAATCATCAAACTGCATCACGAGGCAAGCCCTAACTTGGAATCGTGAACGGAAGTGGAAAAGATTATGGCCAAGGAACACATTACGTCGAGAAATAGAAGCAGATATAAAAAGGATGAATAAGAACTGGGAAAAGCTGGAAAGGATTGCCCAGGACAGGGTTGGATGGTGAATGCTGGTGAGCGGTCCATGCTCCCTCACGAGGAGTAACAGGAGTAAGTATGTATTATAAATTATTGAATCACTAAGCAAAAATTAAAATTAAAGTATATCATAATGAGTATCAGAAGGGGCTTTTGTGGATTTTATAGTCATTTCAATAGTTAAGATCATGAGTCAATTGAAGCTAGACCATCATGAAAAACATGGAAGCACTGAACGGTCGTTTCGTTCACGCGCGAGACCGATAGATCCTAGATTCGAATCTCGCAAGGCGGGATCGTGGATGCGCACTTCTGAGGTATACCATTATCCTTAACAAATTTCACTACTAGGTAATTAACTAACTAATTCTCAATCTATCGATTTAGTGGTATCGAATTAAGCTTAAAGACTGAAGTTCATATACTACTTAATTAATTATCACATTGAATAAGCAAACGATTAAACAATTTGAAATTTAAAATGAAACCATTATTAATACGTCTTGCTGCCTATTAGATTTCTAATGGATGTCAAAGTATGAGATGAATATCAGATGAGTCGTGGATGCGTATTGCTGAGGATTCCCACAAGAGGACGAAACGACCGTTCAGTGCTTCCAGGTTTTCAATGGTGGTCTACCTTCAACTGACTCATGATATGAAATTAGCTTAATGATAGAAGAGAGTATAGATTAATGTAGCTAAATATCTTTAGAATTTATAAATACTATGTAAGATAATTGGCCATACTATTTTGTTGATTTTTTTTGCTTTAATTTGTTTTCGTCACGTTATCGCAACTCTCCTACAATCAATTTCGATTATGGTTAAATTTTATTAAGCCCTTCTATTAACTTACTAAATAGACAATGTTATTCGAACAGTACGCATATTTCTTTGTACTATTTTGATCACTATCTTGTCTGTATAAACGAGTACGCTTGATCTCTCTAGCTTAAATAACGATCGATGAATCAATCTCTTCCCCATGTATATATGTACTCAAATCCTATTATTAGTCTTTGCTTTGCCTTGTTATGCCCTTATGAGATTTGGCTATAAATTTGACTCTGTATTTGCTCACACACACACACATTTGTCTCACTGCTTCAAATTTGCTTGATATGATTGTAGCTTTGTGAATTGTACTATCCGCAAATAAACTGTAGTTGCCTCGTTTTATTGCCTTCTGATTTCAATCACCGTTGAGATTTATATTATAACGGTTATCGAGGTGATTGACTAACAAAGAAAAGTCTATTTATTTTTACTCTAAATTCAGATCACAATATTTTCAAATAAATAAAATCTTGTTTTCTATTTCAACAAACAAAAATCTTTGATATTCTGATCTATTTTGTTACCTGAGTATGAACGAATCAATCAGATTTAAGATAATAGGTCATGAATTTTGGCGCGTAATTCATTCACTCATTTGAACAAATATCATTTTGACATTATAGTTGATGTCATTTCAGTGATGAATGCTCTAACTCAAATTCCTAAATCTAACGTTCAACTGTAAATCCTAGTTCTAATTCCTCACATTAGTCTATAATTCTCTTTTAACTCTAGTAAGTAGGTGGACATTCCAAAGTCATTTGACATCCATAAATTATAGTTTCACTAATAATTTCACTAGTGACTGACTTCAAGAGATACTCCTGGAGTTCTAGTGAAAATCCGTTACCAGTGGAGTTCAACCAGGTCAATTGTGAGATAGGAACTCACTGAAGACAATGGTGTACAGTGGCGCAACTTCGTGGATTGGTTGAAGTTAGACATTAACGCCGTTGAGTGCCAGCTCAGTGATCTAGTTGGTTAAGCGCCTGACGCGAGACCGATAGGTCCTGTGTTCGAATTTCGCGGGGTGCGGGATCGTGGATGCGCACTGTCGAGGAGTCCTATACTAGGACGAAACAGCCATCCAGTGCTTTTGGGTTTTCCATGGTGGTCTAGCTTCAATTTACTCATGATTTCAATCAGTGAAATTTCTTCTACATAAATGTTTTACAGTCATTCCAGTTTTCAGTTATAAGTTTCACGAAACGGAATAGAAACAATTATTTAGTGTTTCATTGTTATCTAATGATGTACTACAAATGATTTCAAATCATACTGGAGATTATTGTGTTTTGTAATTGTTTAATTATAAGGAATGTTGTTTATTTTGGCAAGCATTTACTTGACAGACATCTTCTTTTAAGACAAAATAACATTTAAAGACTGTAAATTGAATTGAAATGGGCTTTTTTAGGCAATCAATAAAGAAGTCAGCTGAAACTATTGCTTTTCATGATGGTCTAAAATTCCGGAAATATTTACCCTTTTTTTCTTAAGAAAGTAACAAATACAGTCAATAGTTGAATTATACAAGTACACTCTTCTTTTTCTCGTTACATGTTTGAATAATGTAATGATCGATACTTCCTTGACTCTTTTAAGGATATCCAGTGGTTAGTATCACTGTTGTTCCGATAATCAATAGAAGCTAAAAAAAAAGAGAACGACAGAAGAAAACTTCTGTGAAGAATTATATGAACACGCATAGCTTAAAGTACAATATTTATGGAACATGCTAGTAAATATGAAAAGATATCTAATGAATAAATTCTATATAAAGGTTAGCCTTCCAATGAGGGAAAATGTAGGGTTTTTGATTGAGATCTTGAACCAGTTGATTTTAGACCATCACAATTGAAAACCTGGAAGCACTGGACGGCCGTTTCGTCCTACTGCGGGACTCCTCAGCAGTGCGCATCCTCGATCCCGCGAGCGGGATTCGAACCCAGGGCCTTCGGTCTCGCGCGCGAACGCTTAACCAACTGGACCACTGAGCCGGCATCCAATGGTGATAGTTTCTAACATCAACCAATCCACGAGGATGCGCACTGCTGAGGAGTCCCACAATAGGACGAAACGGCCGTCCAGTGCTTCCAGGTTTTCAATTGTGATGGTCTAACATCAATTGGTTCAAGATCTCAATCAAAAACTTAATAATCTCCACAACCCCTATACTAGTAAAATGTAGGGTGTCGATATTCATAGTAGTAAGAATTAACTATTGAAAACAGTCAGTAGGAAATTCTACATGACCTCAGTTTTGTTGTCGTTGGAACTTTTCAGCAATGAACCCCTATAATCTTCGGGGAACTAATTTCTCTTTTAGGATTCATGACCGTCTAACAGAGATTTACGATCTGAGTTGTTATTACTTAGCTGTCCTGGTTATGATTAACCTCCTCTTAAATTGAGATATTTACAAATGATTAATCATTAAGCAGTAAAAAATACTACGTTTGTCTAATTATTGATCGACAGAACATAATCAGAATCAAATGACTAGGTAACTAGGTAAATGACTAGATAACATTGGTTACTACACACTTATCCATCAATTATAAACGCAATTTTTAGGTCTATAATACTAATTGATATGATACAAATGATAGCCGTAAAGATTACTTTCCGTCTATATAATGTAAGTAACTGAAGAACATGGTATACAACCGGTAAGCTAATAATCATATCATCGTCAATTGCACAATTAAGTTATATATTACTCAGTAAATTAGTTACATATGTTGATCATATCAGTTTGAAATTATAGTAAAACAAGTTGTATTTATACATTAAGTTATTGATTAATTAATGCACAGTATTACAATGTAGTCTTTACCTTCTTTTATGAATTAAGCTTTATCAGTTTATTGCACAGTTACAACAGTCATAAAATGCAAAACAAATTCATATTTGTCTTATTGTTATGAAGGTGAAGATTTATTGAAATCAAGAACCGACCAATGTCAGACCACTATTGACAACCTGAACGCACTGGATGGCTGTCTCTTCCTAGTATGGCACTCCTCAGATGTGAGCATCCACAAAACCTTATCAAAAGTAATCGAACCAAGGATTTTCATTCTTGCGCGCGAACGCTTAACTTGTAGACTGCGGATTCGGCGCTCTAACTTAATGTCCAACTTGAAGTTAGACGTTGACAACGTTGGATGCCGACACTGTAATCTACAGGTTAAACGTTCTTGTGCAAGAATGAAGATCCTGGGTTTGATTAGTCTTGGTGAGGGATTATGGATGCACATTACAACGAAGTTCTCCACTGATACGAAACGACCGTCCAGTGATTCCAGGTTTTCAATGGTAGTCTAACACTTATCAGTTCATAATCTTAATAAAAACTCATCATTCTCCACAATCTTATGCTCATAAATAATTTATTGTTTTAAAGAGCTGAAAATGAAACTATTTCTAAAAGATAATTCAAAACACAACGGACTATTGTGACTATTGAACAATAATTGAGCATTCAAAAATGGAATGCTGAACTAATTTTCTATATTTTCCGTATTGAATTTCAAATATTCAGTAGGTGGTTTGCTATGTATATATTCTGATAAACAAATTATTACACATAAATTTCCATGTAATCTTGTAAGTAAATTACCTAAGTTTTCATATTAAGAAGATAAAAAGTAATACACACATCATAAACGACAATGATTTCAGATTTATTCTATATGTGTATGTGTCGATGTTTTCCCTTGCTTACATAATTACGCCTGTTACTCCTCGTGAAGGAACATACGCCGCTCACCAGCATTCTCCATCCAACCCTGTCCTGGGCAATCTTTTCCAGCTCCTTCCAGTTCTTATTCATCCTTCACATATCTGGTTCTATTTCCCGACGTAATGTGTTCTTTGGTCTTTCACTTTTCCGTTTCCCTTCAGGATTCCAAGTTAGGGCTTGTCTCGTGATACAATCTGATGATTCGCGTAATGTATGTCTTATCTATTTCCATCGTCTTTTCCTGATTTCCTCTTCAGATTAAAGCTCGTTTATTCTCTCCCACAGTAGGCTGTTGCTGATGGTATTTGGTCTATGGATGTTGAGTATCTTGCGTAGACAACCATTTATAAATACTTGTACCCTCTTGATGGTGGTTGTTGTAGTTCTCCAAGTTTCAGCTCCGTACAGTAGAACTGCCTTGACATTCGTATTGAAGATTCTCACTTTGGTATTGGTTGAAAGTCGCTTTGAGTTCCATATGTTCTTCAACTGTAGGAATGCGACCCTTGCTTTTCCAATCCTCGCCTTTACGTCTGCATCTGATCCTCCTTGTTCATCGATGATGCTTCCTAGGTATGTGAAGGACTCTACATTTTCCAGAGTTTCGCCATCAAGAGTGATTGGATTGCTGTTCTCCGTGTTGTATTTGAGGACCTTGGTTTTCCCCTTGTGCATGTTGAGGCCTACTGATGCAGAGACTGCTGCTACACTGGCTGTCTTTATCTGCACTTGTTCATGGGCATGCGATAGGAGAGCTAGGTCATCTGTGAAGTCCACATCGTCTAATTGGTTCTGAGCTGTCCATTGTATGCCGTGTTTTCCTTCAGATATCGAGATCTTCATAATCCAGTCGACCACCAAAAGAAAGAGGAAGGGAGAGAGTAGACAGCCTTGTCAGACTCTGGTCCTTACTTGGAATGCATCTGTCAGCTGTCCTCTATGCACGATCTTGACATTAGTGTAATGCCTCTGTAGTTTTCACATTTACTCAGATCTCCTTTCTTTGGAATCTTGATGAGGTGCCCTTCTTTCCAGTCCATCGGCACTTGTTCCTCTTCCCAAATCTTTTTGAATAGAAGGTAAAGCATGTTTGTAGTTACTTCGATGTCTGACTTCAGTGATTCAGCTGGTATGTTGTCGGGTCCTGCTGCTTTCCCGCTCTTCATTTGTCTGATGGCCATTCTGATTTCTTTCGTCGTTGGTGGATGGGCATCTATAGGAAGATCTGTGTGTGCTGCTTCGATGTCCGGTGGATTCATCGGAGCCGGCCTGTTTAAGAGTTCCTCGAAGTATTCTACCCATCTGTTCCGCTGTTGTTGAATTTCAGTGATTGGCCTGTCTTCTTTGTCCTTGACCGATCTCTCTGGTTTACTGTATTTCCCTGCTAGTTTCTTCGTTGTATCGTAAAGTTGTTTCATATTTCTTTCCCTTGCAGATTTTTCCACCGTCGTTGCTAATTCTTCCACGTATTTCTTCTTGTCGGCTCCAATGCTTTTCTTCACTTGCTTGTTTACTTCTATGTATTCAGCTTGTGCTTGGGCTTTCTCTGTTCGTGTTCGGCTGTTGTTAATTGTTTCCCCACTACCAATTAATTTTGTGATGGTGAAGAAGATTTGTAGCTCACGTGGATGATTTTGATGGAGTTTTGTTCTCTGAGCTAGATGGTTTGTTCGTGGAGCTTTCATCATTCTTCTGAATGACATTATCAGCACAAACTTCAGAGAGAAGAAATTCGAACACTTGAATATGTGTAACTTTTCAACTCAATCACTTAAATGCATAGTGTTACTGGATTTTTTTTCCGATTCTGAACTTTCAAATGTTTATTATTTCATTAAAATACAAACTATAATGTCAGAATTCATTAACAGATACCACAGGAAAACGACAATAACAATTGATGTATTAGATGCTGTTTCATTTCAGTATGACACTCTTCAATAGTGTCTACCCATGACCTATATTTTCTTATTGACTAGTCTGTACTAATGACCTTTGATTAAAAATAGGATTCTTTTGTTTTAAATGTTTAACAAGTAAATAACTAAGTAAATAACTATGTGAAAATATTCTTCACCTCCCCCCCCTCAAAAAAAATAAAGTTCATCAAAACAACTTGCTTGTTTCAACAATCAGAAATGATCTATATCACAGTGGGTGAAGATAATACATAATTTGCAGTGAACGAAGGCAGGGGAAACTAGACTTATTATTATTATTGATAACAATAGTACTACTATTATTACTACTACTACTACTTCTACTACTACTACTACTACTACTACTTCTACTACTACAACTACTACTACTACTACTACTACTACTACTACTACTACTACTACTACTACTACTACTACTACTACTACCATTAAACAGATACTGGCTGACCAGAAGAATGTTTGGCATTTCTTATCAATGATTTTCATTATTTAATTATTTCATTATCATGATATGCAATGAACAACATACAAATGAACATATTTTATTTATTATAAACTATGAACTTCCCAGCGAGACTATAATTTATGGACAAACCAATCAGATTTATGATAACAGGTCTTGGATTTCGGCACGAAATTCATTCATCCGTTTGGCTAAATAGCGTCTTGACACTTTAGCTGATGTCAGTTCATGATAAAAACCCTAAATCTAATCTCTATCTCTGACTATCAAATGTAAATCATAATCTTTATCCTTCACAATGATTTAAATTCTTCATTTAGCTTTAGTCAGTAGGTGAACATTCTCAAGGTCACTAAGGTGTTGCTCAAATTTCATCCATAAATTATATTCTTACCAAAAAGTGTTATCTGTAAGGATGGAAAATCCCTCGCTTGATTATTTCAACGTGCAGCAATCAGTAAACATACTCTTGAGAACTAACGAACCTTATCAATATCTAGGATTCACTTTCTACACTTATAAGAGAACATATTCTTACTTGATTTAACTAAAGGAATATGGTTAGGAGTTCGATCCAGGACTGTTCAATCAACTGTGATCTATCTGCTAACAGAAATGCTGATCTCTAGATACTTTTGTATCAAATACTTTATAATCTACCAACATTTCTTTGTTTTGAAATCTTTAAAACAGTAAGAACTTTAAGATGAAGTTTGATCGCCGTAATTGTCTATCCGTTGTAGATTTTACACAACCGTGCATTGGTATTATTAACAAGATATGACTAAACATTATAACCTATTTCATTATGTTTTCACGACTACAAGCTTCTCAGATATTCTTACGAATTTAAACCATTAAAAGTTTATTATTATTATTACCACTACTCAAATGTGATGCACCATAAAAATAACAATTTTGATTTTCGTTTGTATCTTACAGTTTTAACTAAATCGCACTAAGATGAATATTCTATGCATTTTAATAAGGAGATACATTTATCATTAAAGACTTTCAGCCAGTTCAGTTCTTGTCACATATAGATGATATTATTATGTGTTCATAAATTACGTGCTCAATAACTAATAGGTTGAAATTTTAGGTAGTAGTCGATCTAATCAAAGGTAAGATAGACGCTCATTGATGACAATGACTGATAGAGGAAGTATAAACCACAAGTTAATCAAAGTCTTCAATAGTAAAATATTGTATTCCCATTGACTGATATGGTACTTATTTGAAGATTGAAATGATTTGATTTTGATGTCATCCAAATTTATCATTGTTCACTATTCAGGATTACTGAACTGGTGAAATAGCTTTACAATTGATTGATCACTGGGTTGTGATCAATATCATGTATGTCAGGTCCTTCTTATTGCACATCGAATACTATCGACCAAGTTGCAATGTGGCCACTAGTCTAGGTGACTCGATATTGCGTCACTATGTTGTGATAAGATGGTGGTTGGAGGCAGTCAACAACGTTACCACTGAGCTATCCGTCTATGACTGTGAAGCTGGGTGACATGGGATCGAATCCGTCAGAGAGCGTCAGCTCCTTCAAGATCACAGGTGAACCTTGCTGACAAGTGTCAATTAGCACGAAACTTAGACCCAGGGTTTCCAGTTGACTTCCTCCAACCACCATCTTATAGTGGAATAACTCTCCACTTCTCTGTGTTTATAAATGCTTCTCCAAATGATTTCAGTTCATAATGAAAATTGTTTCTACACAAAAATACTAATTACCCAATTGTTTACTCTCTACTATGCCACTTCGTCAAAATTCAATCGAAAGGACAAAGTAGCAACTTGTTGAAATCTCGATAAGAGGGCAGAAAACGTTTGAGATTCGAGAAATCACAGTTTCCAAATTAGATAAAAGACATAATTAATATCACTGAACAACTTATCACTAATCCATAATTCTTATTTTAACTACAGTTTAACATGGTGATTAAAATGCCTTATCTTGTTTATCATACAATTATGTACTTACTTGGAATAAAATTACAACTAATCCACAAATCACAATCATTCCACCGTAGAAGCCAATTACCTGTCGTAGTTTCACCCAACAACCTTCATGAATGTTTGAATTCTTAATGTTAAATTCTCCCGGACATGTTGGATCAAGAACGACAAATTTAGCATCCATTTTACAACATGGAATAGGATATTTCAAATCTATCATTGTCAAAAAGAAATTATATCAAACAGTCAATTTCTAAAAATATTTATTTCTTCCTTACAGTTTCAATATGAAGCTATATGAATATAAGACTGGGAGTTTGCATAGCAAATTGCTTTACTGAATAATTCAAAGAACATAATTTATTCATTTCGTATTGTTTGTTTCAACCTTCCTGTAAGTGGATAACGCGATGGCATTTGAAGCAAACGGTACTGAGTTTGAGTCCTGGGGTGAATATCAACTCGAGGGTGCAGGTACATCTAGCTGACAAATCCCAAATAGGACGACACGCACGTCCTGGATTCGATTGCTAGCCACCTTTCATCATGACACAATTTGTTGTTTTTATATTTATCGCTCTTAGTTAACAATTTTGGGTAGTTATTTATTATCAAAATATGTATTCATAACATTTGGAATATTTCATTATTTGAAATTTAAAGTTAACGTACAGGGCAGTAAAATAATTTAATGGTGTCATATTAGTAGTTTACCGGAAATTTTCTAATAGTTTGAAGGGAATTTTCTGTATAAACTCATATAAGCTAGAAATCCATTGATAAGTAGGTGTCCTAGTTTACTATTTCCCAATGTTACACACTCGCAAAGCTATACAATGTTGACTCTATGACTTTAATGATTGAACTCCCGGATTTTGGTCGTAATTGAGCCGTTAGACTCTGATATACATTATACTGCTTGTGAAACGAAATCTTATCATTTAGGAACATTTCGAATCATCATGTTAGTCAGGGTTTGCATAAAACTGTCATTTACAGTAGGTCATGTAGTAATTAATCTACCTTTGTATACAGACCACTTGAACGAACAAAAATGGACAATCATGAATTTATAATAATCTTGACTATCATAACCCAGTAGTCTAGTAGATAACAGTATGAAGTTTAAAGAAATATTTACTGAATCTCGGTTGCATTATAAATATCACCAAAAAGGTGAAAGCACACTAACTGATGGATGAGTTCAAAACAGGGTGAAACGTGCATTCAAGATTATTTGTCTTTGACATAATTTACTGATACTTGATATGCATCATTCAGACTGTGAAATAACTTCTATGCCATTCAATAGTGACTTTCAACCCTAAATGCAAAAATAATCAGTCAAGGATAATTTTTTCTCAAAAGAAATCTACATAAAAATTGGGACACTTAACTTATACTTGAAGTTTACGCTGATGATGTTGTTCACAAAAATGATGAAAGCTTCATGACCAAACCATACAACTTAGAGAACAAAACTTCGTCAAACTCATCCATATGAACTACAAATCTCCATCATCCTAACATGAAATTCAGCTTACAGTCATCATTATAAAGACTTTGTTGAACAACTCAATTCCATCGTTTAAAAATGAATGTATTAAACGAACGTTTATTTCAATGGTTGAGATTATGAGTCATTTGAAGCTAGACGACCATGAAAAACCTGGAAGCACTGGACGGCCGTTTCGTCCTATTGTGGGACTCCTAACTAGCAGTGTGCATCCAAGATCCCGCCTCGCGAGATTCGGACCCAGGATCTATCAGTCTCGTGAGCGAGCGCTTATTCACTAGATGTTTATTTTAAATATAACCACAAATCTTATGTAACATATGTTTTCTAGAAATTTTTGATTTGATATTATAGACCATTAATTATGAACATACCGAAATTTTGTTCATTAAAAAGTACTTTTCTTTGAAAATTAGGTGAATCATCAAAATCAGATCCATTCAATAATCCACAACAATTTAGCTGAAATAAGAGTGTAAAAGATTACATTCTATGCTATTTAAAACTGAATTAAATACTGTTAGAATAATTGAATCATAATTACAAAGTTAATTGATTACATCAATTGGAGTAATGTTTATACTGTTTCTTTTTACAAATCAATTCATAAAAATGACTACTGATAAACTACTTATCCGTCTATCTATATTTCATTTCCCATTACTATTACAATTTCTTGAAGATTTTTCATCATTTTTATGCACTGAATAAAATCAGTTTAAAGTTAAGAGTGAGTGCGTTGTGTGCTACTGATGTCGATAGATATAAGTAGTATGTATCATCAATTGAAAGTGAAATAGCTGACAGTAGAAGGTTAAGAAGACTAAAGAAAAGAGTATGAAAACGAAAAATGATTGGTGTAGAAATGAAGAAACAATCAAATCACAGACGATTGATTGGCATTTTACAAATGAAGTATTTATTGTATGATTCTCAGATTTTACTAAGAGATTCTGTAATTTAGTATTCACATACATTTGGTTGTCCCCGCTTGTGTTCTCGTTCATTACATGAGTACCTTCAATATGAATTTCATTTTTTCATGGTTATTTCTTGATAAACTGTCTTAACTAATATGCTTTTTAAGCAAAGATGGTTGGTGACTAGCTATAGAATCCAGGACATTTATTTGGTTCTATTTAGGAGTTGTCAGTTGGATGTAGTTGCATCTCAGAATTGATGTTTATTATTAGACTTGAACATGGTACTGTTTACTTCAAACATCATTAAGTCATCCACCTATCTAATGAGTCCAGATAATCATTACCTTGTGTAATGAGGTGAATTTTGAATCATATGTATTGGTTATTTGAATCTTCCCATTGGTTTTTATGACTTCAATCGCAACAGCTTTATATTGAGCTGAATGGTTGGTTTGACGGTTAACAGAACTTACCTCTCAGCAACGGCCGATGTATTAGAAAAAATGAAGTTTATGCATCACCGAAATTTCAAACAATGAATAAATGATCCTATCAAATCCCATAATGTTGACCAATCTACTTATATGTGCATGGACTCGCATACATTGAGAGAAGTAATAACAATAAATGGTGGTTAAGTATGTATTTGTTTACAAACCCAATATCAATGATATTTCGGTAGACAATAGATTATAAAAGTCTACTTGACAAATATCTATTATTATCAGGAGGCGTTTGGTGGATATTATAGTAGTTCTTAGTTGAGATGAATCAATTGAAAACAATGCTGGGTATGTCGCTCAATTTCGTGAATTAGCTGAAGTTAGACATTAACACCGTTGGATGTCGACCGACTTAGTGGTTTAGAGGTTAAGCACTCGCTTGCGAGACTGATATATCTTAGATTCAAATCTCGCGAGGCGAAATCGTGGATGCGCATTGCTGAGGAATCCCACAATGGGACGAAACGACCGTCCAATGCTTCCAGGTTTTCCATGGTGGTCTAACTTCACTTGACTCATGATCTCAACTAATAAAATATCTATTATCATGTATATATTTATAAAGTTTATAAACTGAACTAGAAACTGCTTACATAATAGAAGTAGATTACTACAACTAATTGAAGTTTAGCAGTCCAAACCTTTCAAGTTGTATTTTCAATAGACTATTTACACTAAAACCAAATATACATTTAGTATTAGTAGAAACTTACAGTTGGCATAATAACTGAATATATTATACTATCAGTATTATTAGAACCAATTGAACGATAGTTTCTCAGAGAGTTATGAGCAATTTTTCTAGCTAACTTGAATATCTAATTTCATAAAGTAGAAATATAAAATAATTTTAAGTTGTTAAGGAAAATGTATTAATGGCAAGACTATAATTTATGGACGAACCAATCACGTATAAGATAACAAGTCTCAAATTTTGGCACGAAATTCACTCATCCATTTTGGATAAATAGAGTTTCGGCATTATAGATGATGTCGGTTTGTGATGAAAACTTAAAATCTAATTCCTAAACTTAACCATCATCTGTAAATCATAATTCGAACTGCTCACACTAATTTATAACCCTCATTTGGTCCTAGTTATTAAGTGTACACTCTCAAGGTCAGTTTAGCATTGCTCAAAGGTCGTTCATAAATTATAATCTCACTATATGAACAAAAATATTTTTTTTCCATCTAAAAAATTTCTCCTCAGGTTCTTCAATGAAAACGGCCAAATTTAAGGAAAATACTTTGTTTTATTCATAACCCATAAGAAATCAGGATTGTTAGTGATTCGGAGAATCGTCAATTTATATGCTATTGATATATCTATATAATTGTACAGTTTGATAATGAATTCCTTTGAAGGAGATCGTTTCGGGAAAGTTCATGTTTATTTTTTAGTGTTTGAATGAGATTTATGACAGTTGAACTTGAAGAGAATTCATGGTAAATAATATTCTTCATTCATGTATGTGTTTCAAAATAATGAAATTTTTAGAATTTTAAAACTAGATCTGTTTATGAATACACAGCTTTTGGATTTTGCGAACTTACGTCACCTATAGCGAAGGTAAGATATCTGTTTATCAATTGAAGGACGAGTATACTATGCGGTAGTTCGTTCTGTTTTACTTTACGGCAGCGAAACGTGTCCATTAAGAGCAGAAGATACTCGTAAGCTACTAGTAATTTCATCACAGATGTCTTAAAAATATTGCTTGCATCTGCTGGGATAACCGGGTAAGTAATCGTGAGGTTAGACGCAGGGTATTAGGTGAGGTTGTAAATCTTCATCGACTGAGATGTTTGGACCACTTTTTACGTAGGCCTGAATTCCGACTACCACAACGCGCAATGCTGACTAGTGTTGGGGTTCGATGGAAGAAAGTTAGGGGCACCAGTGCTTGGAATCGCTAACTTTTAGTCTTAGCTATGTTGGTAGATGCAGACTACTTGGTTGAGATTCATCTGACTATCTTGATCAATGGTTGGAGACTGTGTGACATGGCTAAGAATCAATCACAATAGCGTAGGTGGAGGATACTCTTTGTCTTCCCTTAAACTGTGAGATTAAAATCGTTTTATATCTTTCTTTCAACCAACTAACTCTTTCTTCCTGTACTATGTCATTATATGCAATCTTTCTTTTATAAATTACTACCATTGAAGTGACTAAATTGATGAATTTGGTGTTCATCTTGTTGTGCTAATGAGCTGCGGCAACTAGGACTGATGCATATATGTGCCTGATCCTACGTTGTAGCTGACTGACTGTTGTAAAATCATTAAAAACGATGAACCATTGAAGGGGTGTCTTTTCTTACGTTCAAGCCTTTCAAAAATTAACATCCGTCACTCCATTCACATATAAGATCTAACTCCAGTTTTTCAGTTATGTGGCTTAGCTGAATCCAATGGCTGGTATTTTCAGCTTTATTTTGGGTGTTGTGGAGACTAATTCAATGTGTGGGTAATATTCTTCACAGTTGGGGTTGCCTTGGGAACCGTGGATCACTGGATGGTAATTTCATCTTACCATTGGACTACATATTAGTTATTATCTATGATATTAGATGATTGTTCGGTTATACCATGAATTAACGGCAGAATAATTACGACTTTCTTATTTGCTATACGTTTGACGTGTAATACTGAAAGAGGAGTTATGATAATGCCAAAATCTAAACGATTGATATCCTGACTACATTTCTAGTGTAGTATTAAATGAATCAAGTCCGAAAACACTATTTAATTATCAATATAGGGTTATGGAGATTATTAAGTTTCACTGAGATTATTAACCAATTAACATTCGACCAACATTGAGAATCTGGGAGCACTGGACGGTCGTTTCGTCCTAGTATGGCATTCCATCAAGAAGCCGTGACCAGTGAACTCTAACCCGTGTCGGGTGGGAGGCAGTTACTCACCGAATATGGTCGATCAACATCGTGAGCTGATTGAATTTAAACATTAACACTGTTGTATCCCGACTCAATGGTCTACAAGTTAAGCGTTCGAGCGCAAGAATTATGATCCTGAGCTCGACTACATTTGATGATGTTTTGCGGATGCTCATTTCTGAGGAGTGACATATTAGAACGAGACGGCCATCTAATGCTTTCAAGTTTTCAATACTTATCGGTTCATGATTTCAATGGAACTTATTTGGTCAGTTGATTCATTAAGAGTTATACCACGTGAGCTATTTTACTTGAAATGCTTGTTTTTTTTAAAAATTCGATCACAGAATATCATCAAAACTAGTATCTGATGAAAGCAAGTTTAGAGAAGTCGCTTTACTGATAAATGATTTTGAAGTTATAGTTGCATCAGTACTAAATTCAGACTAAATGTATCATTCTGTTAATTAGTGTCATTAGGGATAATGTGTTTTATGTCTGATTAAGTGGACATAAGTGAATTCACAATGCTAATATTTTATAATAAAACTGACATTAAATTCTACTATATCATTAAACACTAGAGTGTTGCTTTCTCAGCTATCTAATTATGTCAGGTATTATTTGTATAGATGACTTAATATTAAATAGAAGATTGTATTTCCTAGTTCTTGATATTCAGGACTGAATTTGCTTATCGTTTTCCATATAAAATACAAAGATATAATCAGTTTGTCTTTCTAGGTATGCTTAAAGTATTTAAGTATTTCGCATTAGTTTAATGAATGAACATTAAGTAAAGTTGAACTTACTGATTCACGATCGGTGTAATAAAAACTCATTGCAGTAGTCTCAATAATGACCAGTACCAAAAGTAACCCAATGTACTATAAAATAAAAAAAACATAATTATCTTTTATTAAAATATCCGGATTTGAATAAGCATAATTTTAATGAAACTTTTAAGATCAGTCTTTTGTGAATATTTCAAGAATGGGATCTTGGATATTTTATTTGTTAGACAATTTGTGATCTGCATGGTCAATTACATCTGAAGTCTGTAGTGGTTTAGCTTCGTTAATCGACCACCACGATAACCATTATTATATAAATCTGATGTTTAAAATTAGAAGACAATAAGAAGAGGCAACTACAGTTTATTAGCGGATAACAAAGCTACAAACAAATCAAGCGAATATGAAACAGAGAGGCGAATTTATAGTGGAATCGAATAAAGCACAGCTAAGCAAGGCAAAGGTTAATAATAGGATTCGAGTACATATATACATGGGGAAGAGGCTGAAACATCGAGTGATATTTAAGCCATAAACATTTTAGCTAGAGTCTGTCATGTGACCAAGCGTACACGTTTATACAGCCAAGATATTGATCATAATAGTACAAAGAAATATGCAATTTGTTACTATTTGAATAACACTGTCGGTTAATCTAGTTTAATAGAAGGGCTTAACCATGATCGAAATTGATTAATTATAACATTGATTGACGAGTGTGCACTACCATAAATTGAAAGGTGAAAAAAACATGTTGTCTACTGGACCATGATTCATTGACATTGTTAAATGTATGATTTATTTCCATGTCCCGATAAGCATAAGGAATGGTAACTTTTGGGATCCATTTGTGTACCAATACTATACGTATATTTTTATCGTATAATTGGCAAATAACTAAACTATTCATATTCGTGTTCCTCTTATTATGGGCTTTATTTTGACCTATTTATTTTGAACTATTATTATACGACTTACCATTCTTGAACTATGCTCTGGGAGCATCAGTTCCTTCAAGATTACAGGTACACCTTGCTGACGAGTGTCAAGTAACACGAAACCCGGGGCCAGCGTTCCCTGTCAACTACCTCCAACCACCATCTAATCTCACAATAGTGCACGCGATGTCAAGTCACCTAGGCTGGTGGCCACATTGCAACATGGTCGATAGCATTCGATCTGCACTAATACGGACTAGACGCGCAATCAATTGTGATTACATCTCAGTCCTACAGGAGGTCGGTCGCGGCTCGGATAGCTCAGTGGTAACGTCTCTGACTGTGAAGCTGGGTGACACGATGTCGAATCCGCCAGGGCGCATCAGTTCCCTCAAGTTTACAGATACACCTTGCTAACAAGTGCCAAGCAGCACTAAACCGGGGTCCAGGGTTTCATGTCGACTACCTCCAAACATCATCTAACCTGTCTGCTTATTACTACCTCCCTCATTCACAGCCACATTTAGCTAAATCTTGTACAAATGTTATTTCATGTTTTGTGATACGGTGTGGTCTATCTGGTTGATATATAAACCCAGTATGCTTGAAATAAATGATTCATATTACAGAGGCTGAGATTAGTGTTCTGGACTTAACTGGCTGGGATAAGCACGAAGTAGGACCAATAAGGACTCTAGACTGCTCTTACGGGTTTTATGCGTCGTTGATCCGATCTATAATTCCCTGCTATCTAATTGGCAGTAGCATTATGTTTACATAACCAGGGCACACAGGCCACAGGTTATAACACTTATTTAGTCCGGAGTTGGATTACATGTATATGGTAATGTATGAACTTGAGAAGTTTCAAGTCAGATAGAGTTACTCAGTACTTTATTAGTATCCAATAATCTTTGAAGTTATTGTTAATTCGTGCAATAGTTAAAGCAATTAAAATGTTATTTATCAATATATTTTCCAAGAGAAACTTTTCAAATTAGAAAAGCTCTTATTAACGAAACGTATTTAATGAACAGCTTGAACTATACTTAAAATGCGTGGAAATAGAGTTTTTTGAAGGAAAACATCTTTAGCCATTCCTTTTTAACATTAAATTCATAGTATATGAATTAACTCAATTCTACCTATTACGTTGTCCAGAAAGAAGATGAAAATTTCATGAGTAAATCATCCAGATCAGAAAATCGAACACATAGACAATGAAAATACCATTAGATAGGCTTTTGTAAATTTACCGCTAGTTCACTTCCTATACGGCATGAATTAACTCCGAATTCGATTCCTAGCTGAACACTATACTTTAATTTAATGATGATCCACTTTTACTGTATTAATTTTTTTTCAAGAATGCGTCTATTTAACACAATGTTACTGAATGTTTTTCCATAGACTCTCTTAATATACACTTAAAGGTTTAATGTAATTAATTCCCTTGATGAATTTAAATAAAGCCAGAACAAATATTGATGTAGAATAATATTAGTTCTCAGTATCGGGGTTGTGGAGATTATTAACTTTTTGATTGAGATCATGGACCGATCGATGTTAGACCACCGTAGGAAACTTTGAACCACTGAACGGCCGTTTCGTCCTATTGTGAGGACTCCTCAGCAGCGCACATCCGCGGGCTCGCTCGCGAGATTCGAACCAAGGGCCTTCAGTCTCGCGCACAAACGCCTAACTTACTGAACCAGCATGCAATTGTGTTAATGTCTAACATCGATTGATTCATGATCTCAATCAAAAACCTAATATGAATTCGTTATATTTCGTGGTTATTTTGTGTTAGAATCAAGGAAACATTAAGGATGGGTGATGTAATAGATGAGTGGAGTTTAGAGACAAAATAAATTATGTGAAAATTTGAGAAGTAATGAAGGGTTTACATGAGATTAATAGAATTAAAAACCTGGTAAGATGGGTTACGTAATAACTGAATAGGATTTGAAGGGTTCACATAATTTAAGAGAATCAAGTGAGTGGAAATGTATGAGTGAATGGGGTGGTTTGAGGATTCGGTGATGGAAGAGAAATATAACAAAACAAAACTAATGACTAAAAAAAATTGAATTACCAGGGTAGTAATTCCATGAATCATATGTATACCCTTCATTACCTCTCAAATTTTCACATAATTCATCTTATGTCTCTAAACTTCACTCAACTATTACATCACTTATCACTAATGTTTCCTTGATCCTAACATCAAATAACCATGAAATATAATGAATTCATATTATTCTGAATCAATGTTCGTTCTGGCTTCATACTAACTTACAGCTTTACCTGTAATGATTATTGTAACTCATAGCTTTATTCTAAATAGAAGTTTATTGATAAAAATTGACAAGTCAAATGAAATATTAGTGGATTAACATATCCAATTACTTCACTTAATCACTTACCGCATGTTATGACTGGATTTAAGTCTAACAACTAAAAATATAAGTATCATCGTCAAATTTGTCATTCACTAAATAATAAGTAAAATATTGAACTAATATTACATTTAGCGATAAAAGTGTTTGGCTTAAAATGAAGTAGATAATTATATAGTGAGAGGCCGTGACCAGTGGAGCTCAATCGGGTCTGCTGTAAGGTAGTAACTCACTGATGACAATGGTGGACTGTGGCGCAATTCCGTTAATTGGTTGGTGTTAGACATTAACACCGTTGGATGTCGGCTCAGTGATCTAGAGGTTATGCATTCGCACGCGAAACGGGACGGAATCGCCGGTGCGCACTGCTGAGGAGTCCCATGCCAGGATGAAACGGCCATCCAGTGCTCCCAGGTTTTCCATGGTGGTCTAGCTTCAGTTAACTCATGAATTTAATTGTTACATTACTACAATCTCCACAAAACCCCTCTTTGATTAAAATAATTCTTTCTTCTTACTGTCTAATTCAAGTAAGTTGTTGAAATATTAGATGCATTTAGTTACACATTTCGTATCTGTGCAGTTGGTTAGTTATGTGGTGTATGGTACTTATGTTGACAGAAATAAGTAGTATGTAACACTAATTAGAAGTCGAATGCCTGGCAATAGAAGGGTCAGAAGATCGAATTGAAGAGAACAAAAATGTAAACAGATAGTACTTGTAATAAGAACAGGAATGAAAGAATGATGACGTTTTTAACAGACAACTGATGGAAGATATACTAATGAAGTATAGAATGTATGGTTTTCAGATTTCACTAAGACACTCTATAATTTTGCATTAAACGATAAGTTGATGTTCCTCATCAAAGTTCTCGTTCATAACAGTTTTAGGTTAGTGCGATTTTCATCATTAAGATCTATAGACAAAAGAATAATTCATAACAGTAAAGCACTGAATGTCGGTATTGTCCTAATCTACAATTACCATTGGTAGTAACCATCAATGTTTTAAAAGAATGTCGATTAAAGAAAGTACAAGTCTCAATCGTTAAATATGAACTAAATATAAATGGTGATGTTTCACATTGTATGTTTATTTGTTAAAACATATTTTAATTACTTCGTTTAGAAAGTTTAAACCTCAAGTAACATTCACATAGACCAACGTATGTCATCTTTTCTCTACGATTATCTACGACTTTCAATAAAATGTATCACCAGAATATATTTCCTCCAAATTTGTATAACCTCACCACAATACTAATAAGTAACAAATAGATTTTCACAATATTTCCATATCAACACCTTAATTTTTTCAGTATGGGGAGTTGTGGAGATTGTAATAGTTTAACAGTTTAATTCATGAGTCGATCTAAGCTGGAACACCACTGAAAACCTGGAAGCACTGGACGGCTGTTTCAACCCAGCACAACCACGCACGCGGAGCTCGAACCCAGGATCTTTGATGTTGCATACAAACGACTTGCCTTTAGACCGTTGGGCTGGCATCCAGTTTTCTGAGGTGAATAACTGTCTGTTATTTTTATTCATTCGACCATGTTAAGCTGATCACTTTCAACTTGTTCTTATTTCACTCTAACTGTTTGTTGTTGATTTCATGACTTTAAAAGTGACTTTAACTAACACTTGGTTGATCTAGTACTGTGGTGCGTGCTACTTATATTGATATAAGTAGTATATGACGTGAGTCAGGAATGTAATGTCTGGCAGCGGAAGATGGAGAAGATCGTGAAAGGAAGAGCGGGAATAGAAATGCAAGAACAATGAAGTTCGAGACAATTATTGAACATTTTGCAAATTAAGTATTATAGTATGGTTTTTCTATTTTACCAAGTAACTCTGTAATTTTGTGCTAAATATAATTCGGTTGTCCTCACCCGTGTTCTCCTCTCACTACAGTACCACTATAAGTGACCTTACACTCCTGAATACCAAGAAAATCTTTTAGTATTTATTGATCATCATTTGTGTTTACTTAAATGAAACTGATTACTTGTGATTCCAGCTTTGATTGTTTTGTAAGATTTGAAATTCTGAAAGTTTTCTATAAGCTATATTTGAAATGATGACTTATACTTGAAAGAATTTCGGTCAGAATTCAATTATTTTCATATTAAAAACAATAGAATTATTTTTCAAATAATTAATTTCAAACATACCACTCTAAGGCAAAGAATACTCTTACAACATGCTCCACAGAAACCGAATAAACAAATAGCCAAGGAAACTAATCCTAATATGAATAAAATGAAACCGAATGGACCTGGAAATGTTTGAAAAAAAAATGGAAACATCATGAAAGACAAATTTTCATTGATAAAACAGTCTGTGAAAAATTTGTTTTTTAAGAACATTAGTTAGTTTGTATGGTTTAATTCAGCTAATTTTGGTGACCAACCATTTAGATATGAGAAATACACAAATGAATGTAAATCAATAACATGTATTTGTACATGTATATAAGGAGGTAGCCTAGTTACCGATTCATCATTTGAATTGTTTTAGATAACTTTGTTGTATGACCACGTTGAATGCAAAAAAAATATTTGCTCAAAACTGAGCACATAAATTAGTACTTGATGAAGGAGCGATATTATGGTGTGGGTTACTTAATCCATATAAGTAGTATATAACGGTGGTCAGGCATAGAATGTATTTCAGTAGAAGATCGATAAGGAAAGGACGGAAACGGAACGCATTTCGTATGAAAATGCATGAGCAATGAAATGTGAGGCAATAGACTGATATTTGCAAAAGGAACAGTGAAGTTTGAGACGATGGATTGATAGTTTGCAAATTAACGATTTACTGTATGGTTCTCAAATTTTATAGAGATGATTTGTAATGTCATATCAAATACAATTGATTGTCTCCACTCGTGTTCTCGTTCGCTACAATATTACTACTTCATATTACGGTCCATATATGCTAGACTACATGCTACATTTATTTTTAGTTGATTCATCATAATTTATGCTCGTCCGTACCATAGTTTTTAAAACTTAATGATTGATTCACTTGGTGTTGTTTTACTTGTATCTTCTCACTGTTATTTAAGATTGCAATTGATCGGTTCAGAAAGCAACTTCCTACAGGTGTAACTCTAAGCTATCCTCTAAACTCTCGAGCACAGAGTCTATTTGGTTTGATAAACTTTATCTGTTTCTAAAACATAAATTAACACCGTTAGTATAGAAAACAAAGAGTGCAGTCTATAAACACAGGGAAAAACAGAGACATAAGTAACATACCGAACAGTAACTAGAGCATAGGAAAAATGAGTCAACAAGGCAAATATTGTTTGATAATGAACATAAAATTGTGATTGATGAATAAACAAGATATAATCATGCAAATTAAAAGAAAGTTAATGTGGTGGTGGGCGTTTCACTTTATCATTGGTGAGTTCGTTTATCGATCAAACTTTACAATCAGTCTCATGTTGACATATGTGCATCCTGTGAGGATGGCCTCGATATAGCCTTAAGTCACAAGCGTTTTAAGCAAAGATGGATGGTGGCTAGCAGCGGAATCTAATACGCGCGTTTCGTCCCATTTGAAACTCGTCAGCTGAATTTATCTGCATCTCAAAGTTGATGTTCACTCTGGGACTCGAATCCAGTATCGTTCGCTTCGAACGCCATCACTCTATCCTCTTAGCTACTGAGTCCTGATAGCCATTTGCTTGTGCCATGGGGCGAAGTTTGAATTTACTTGGTGTTGTTTTACTTGTACCTTCTGATTGTTATTTAGGACTGCAATTGATCAGTCTCATGTTTGCATACGTGCATCCTGCGCGGATTGCTTCTATATAGCCCTAAGTTACAAACACTTTAACGATTGATTACTGAGTTTCAAGGACGATCGACCATTATTTAATGATACGGTGTAATGTCTATTTGTTATTTTTTCTTTTACAGTCAACGAAGAATTCAGAACTTTTACAATTAAACGGGTTCAGTAAAATCACCAGAAATATTTATTCGTTTGTCAGTGGACATGATTGAACATATTTATTTCATACATGTTCCCCTTTAATTAATGACGAAACTGGTGAACAGTCAAACGATGTAGAGCATACAAAATGAAGTGAATTACCTTCAACCACTTACAATGTTTACCATTTATGCTTCAAAATTAACTTTTGTTGTAACATTCACATTTTAAAGATGGATAGATTTATATTTGAAAACAAGCATATTTAAACAATTATTTTGTCTACTGAGTTTATCCCAAAATGTAGTTATCCGATTAACAGCAGATTGTACTATAAATATTAGCAATGATATAGATTAGATGGATTGTGGTTAGTATTGAAATTCAGGATACGTGTTCTATCATATTTTGGATTTGTCAGATAGATAATACATCTTCAAACCAGTGCTTATGCATACACCAGGACTTAAATGTAACACATTACCATCCGAATACTCAACGCGTTATCCACTGAGCTACTGAATCCTGATAGATACTAGCTTGTGTATCTAAGTGTGAATTTGATCTAATTTGTGATGGTCTAGATTATTCCGTTGTTAAGATTCTTGACTAAATTTCGATTTGTCTTATTATGAAATATGCATATCCTCTAAAGATTACTTTGGCCTAGAGAATATCCAACCATTAGTAAAAATCTATCAACTATGTTCACATTAGAAATAGTAATAACAAAGGGAATTAAAAGGAAAATAATTCAACAATGAACAACTTACAAACGGGAAAATATTTTACTTTTCCCTCATTCTTAATATTCTCCTTTAAATTTCAGTACTAAACCTTTATAGATTTATTCATAGTAAATTATGAACATAAAAATGTTATATTATCAAGTTAGATGTTATGCTTCAATACGGTCTCGCGGCGAAACTATAATTTATGGACGACCTTTGAGCGACTCTTAGGTGACATTGAGAAATATTAGCCAATCAGCAAACAGTAAGTAAAGAGTAAAAATATATGATACAAAACCAACGAAAGAGAGTGGATACACTTCTTATACGTGGTTCGAAAACTTGTCAAGGCTAGAAAGAGGTTCAGAGGTTCTAAAGTCCTTATGCATGTAGTAGAGAAACTCATCCATATGGCTACAGAATAGCTGGCCTCTGGAGCCATGATAAAGTCTCAAAAACTCTTTCAGCTTCGATCACATAGCTTCAATATTGTTTATGTGCACTCCGATTGTTGAGTATACAAAATGCCACTTGTGGATAACGACATAACGCACATAACCAAGCCTATGTAGTACTCTATACGCTCTCTCTCTGTACGCCGATCCGTATATATTGTAGTACCTGGCCGCAACCAGTGTTACTAGTGCTTTAATTATCCGGTTCGCGATAATTGTCGTAATTCGCCTTAGTTAGGAATCATATATGGGGTTTTCGTCACGAACTGACATCAGCTATAATACCAGAGATTTATTTAGCCAAATGGATGAATGACTTTCGCGTTAAAATTCGAGACCTGTTATCTTATACCTGATCGATTCGTCCACAAATTATAGTCTCGCCGTTTTATTTGTTATAGCCGCTCACTTATCATGTTTTGTACAAAATTTCTTGTGAACCGATTGTGCATTAGCATTAAGTACTGAAGTTGGCGCCGTGACCTTGAAATCCCTCAAACACTTCTGATTGGTTCGTCCGTAAATTAGTCTCACCCGATCTCGCTAATAACAATTGACGACGACCATATACCTCAAGTACTCAATTATTATAAACGTCCAGCTTATACAAAAACCAAAAAACGAAAAAATAAAACACAGAGTGTATACATTACTTGTTAATTGTAAGATACCAGATGCCATATCTGTGAAATCTTGCGCTACTTCTTCACCATACATTTTCTTAATCATTGGACCAATTACATCATCCAATTCTCTTGTTATAGTATCTCTGCCCCAGGTTAAAATTGCACCAAACGATGAAACTATTAATGCTGATAGCTAAGTATTTTTTTAAAGAAAATAAATGATGAGTTGACACTTATCTATACCAATTTACTGGTACAGTTAGGTTGACACAAAGAGAGGTAACCCTTAGGGGAATTAGGATACATAAATTTTTATAAAAAACTATGATTCTTATTTCTTGATCGATCCTTACGATAAATATTAAGTGGTCGCCAGTTAGATGTTAGCACTTCAGGAATCGACATTTGATTAATGTTCACTCTTTTCAATGTATATTACCAGCAACCACGATATCTCTGATTGGACTTTTTTTAACTTGTACAACGTAAGGTTGTACATTTTTCGGAAACACACCTGAATAGGTTATACGATTAATAGCTATAATGATGTATTAAAACAAAATTAGATAACTTATTGAAATATCTAGATGGCAGGAGCAGGTAACACAGATGTTCAAACAGGCCGCCACATCATATATTGCGTATATCGAACAGTTTAGTTGGAAGTTACTATGATTACACAGCAAAGATTCAAATAAATTGAATAGACTGAATAAAATATATCTTATACAAAAGAACGTTCTACAACATCGGTAATGACAAAAAATCAAAAGGGCTAGAAACAAATGATTACGTAATATATGAAAACGTTGATAATAAATAAGAATAATGTAAGCGAAGCTCCATTAGTTACAATAGAAAATGATTATCTAGAAAATGATTATAATCAAAGGATACAATAACGTAATTAGGCGAAAGAAAGAGTTGAATAAAATTTTATGACGTAATGTAGACATGATTGTGTCATAAATACAAGAAGAGATAAACAACTATCTCCTTTAGAACATAAAAATCATATTAATATTAGCCTGATAACGATAGCTTCAGAAAACGGGAACTTGACTATTTATTAGTCAAAGTGATTACAGAATATAATGAAATCATTGTATTCTATGACTTCTTTTTAGCAACATACATGCTAACAAGTTTAGTTGATTCAAATGTCAACTGTATAAGCTTATTCACATATACTTACTTACTTACTCCTGTTACTCCTAATGAAGCATTGGCTGCCGACCAGCATTCTCCAACACACTCTGGCCTGGGCCTTCCTTTCTAATTCCATCCAATTCTTGTTTATTTTACTCATGTCTATCTCCATTTCCCGGCATAATGTGTTCTTTGATCTTCTTCTCCTCCTCCTTAAGCCTTGAGGATTCCACCATATGAGAGCTTGCCTTGTGACACAGTTCGGTGCTTTCCTCAATGTGTGTCCTATCCACTTCCAGTGCTTCTTCTTGATTTCCCCCTCCATTGGGATCTGATTTGTTCTCTCATACAATAGGTTGTTTCTGATAGTGTCTGACCAAAGGATGCGACGTATTTTGCGTAGACAACTGTTAATAAACACTTGTATCTTCTGAATGATGGCTTTCGTAGTTCTCGAGGTTTCCGCCCCATACAATAGAACTGTGTTGACATTTGTATTGAAAATTCTGATTTTGGTGTTGGTTGACAGTTGTTTTGAGTTCCAGATGTTCTTCAGTTGTAAATATGCTGCTCTTGCTTTACCGATCCGCTGCGCATGGAGACCCTCTGGGGGCTACTGCCAATGTCAAGCCCGGATAATCGAGGAGGATTGGGCATGAGGTTAATGACTCCATCCCATAGAAAACTCACTGGCTAAAAAAACGCTGACCAGAAAGATAAATATTCACATCTACATATATGCTAACTTTTCCTCTAATATTTCTTTAATAAAACTCTTTTTTTTCATTCAATATACACAAAATATAATAAAACTTAAGAATAAAATAAGAAATAGAATAAGGAGAACTGTTCACTTACTCCAACTAAGGAATTTATCAATAATAATGTTAGCCTCAATACAACAGTACACATTTTCTATTGTTTTATACTAATCCGTAATGAACTGATATACTAAAATGAAATTTATAAATAATGACATTACAATAAATTTTGAAACTTCATAGATATTTCTATTATGTACAAACATCAACTACTTGATCCTTGAATAGAAAGAAATCAAAATTGTTTGATTACAATCAAAGTGTAAACCTTTGCTTTTTGACTCAGTACTTACCACTAGACTTAAAGGTATTCAGTTCAATAATGTATAAGTATGAGCGTTAATGTATATGAATGTTTTAGGAGTAAGAAATTAAGGTGAAAATGAAGCATAATTTTTGGTATTATTATTTATTTAAACACATGAACATTAGCACAAGGAGGCACCAAATATATATACACCATACTTCATCATTCCATTTGTTTTTCAAGGCTGGAGTACTGCTCAGGTTTTCTTAAGAAGTCACACACCGAGCCCTTGACCTGAAAGTCTAATCCACAAAACAGTGGAGCAACGTTACGAGGCGAAGTTCCATGGTAACCGGTGACCAACAATAGGTTCATACGCCATTTTTCCAGACCCCATGTAAAACATGGGGTCTGGAATCACGGTTCTTTAACTCTCTCCCTCTCTCTCTCTCTCGAAAGAAAAATACTATCTGGTTGATTAGTTATGCAACAAAATATAAGCCATTACTGGATAGAATATGTAGTGTCCGTTAATAAGAAATGTATTTAAATGTTGTAGACAATCTGTAACATTGATAGAGTGATGCTGTAATGTTTCATCTATTTGAATACTAGGCATTTGAGAATAAATAATGGTTATCAACAAACTTCAGTTCCATAGCATTCGGATGACAGAATAAGAATATTCGATAGAATATATATATTTATATACGCAGCAGTGCGTAGCCACGAACTCGCACGCAGGATTAGAACCCAGGATCTTCACGCGCAAACGCTTAACCGCTTGACCACTGAGTCAGCCGACATCCAACTGTGTAAATGTCTAACACCAACAAATTCACGAAATTGTGCAACCATCTTCCATTGTACTGAGGTAAACACCGGTCTCTACCCGACACGGATCAGCTCCACTAGTCATGGCTTCTCACTAGAACTCCAGGATATACATCTTGAAGCCAGTCACTAGTGGGTATATGTTGATTAGTATCAGAAGGGGTTTTGTGGAGATTTTAGCAATTTCAATAGTTGGGATCATGAGTCAATGAGTCACTGGATAGCCGTCCAGTGCTTCCAGGTTTTCCATGGCGGTCTATTTTCAATTGACTCATGATCTTAACCACTGAAATTACTAAAATCTCCACAAAACCCCTTGTAATACTAATATATTAGTCTTTTAATACTTACTATTGTAAAATCAATTCAGTATCTATTTGATTTATTCATACTTTTACACTCTCAAATATCACATTTTCACTTAGTTCTGCTTCGGAATTTTAGAAATTCTATTACTCTGCCTTATTTCTCTATAATAATCAAAAAGATTTTTACCATGTCATTTTACAATGTAACAACAATTAGTAGTGATCAGTATAGAGGTTGTGGAGATTGTTAAGTCTTTTTGATTGAGATCATGAACCAATTGATGTTAGACCACCGTTGGAAACCTGGAAACACTGGACGGCCGTTTCGTTAAGCGCCTGGCGCGAGGCTAAGAGGTCCTGGGTTTGAATCTCGCGGGGAGCGGGATCGTGGATGCACACTGCTGAGGAGCCCCACAATAGGACGAAACGGCCGTCAAGTGGTCCCAGGTTTCCAAAAAAAAACAATTAGTAGTGACTTTTTTCAAAATAAATTTTCCGGTATATAATAATCTATCATGTCAACGACAGAATGCATTTAAATCTGAAGTTTACTGAAGATTGTTTACTGATACCTGTACAATCTCCTTAATTTTATATAGTTTTTTTCAGACTTAAACTGTGTTCGTCACTTTTTTGAAGTGTATGTATGTGTTCCAAGAAAATGAAATCGTCTATTATGACATTAGACTTTTTGTTAACATGTTTTCACCCGGTTTTACTGTTACATTCCCTTAACTTTTTTAATCATAACCTGGTAATAAAGATCTTTTTAGTTTTTACTTGTATCATTATTGATCAGGTTTTGGTATTCAGAATTTTAGTTAATCTACACTTTACTTGCTATAATGATTAAAGTTCATCCAAATATAATGTCATACTTAAATCTGCCTGAAATTTTTAAGGTTGTCATGAGTGAAGATGTATTGTCAGCATCATTCAGTTTATCGGTTCTAGATTGTATTCCTTGCAGAATCACATTCATGTACGCTGATATCCAGAAAGGTATTTCTTCACATTAAAATGTAATGCAACAAAGGTTTGATTAAAATTTAAACAAATGTGTAGCAAGCCCATTCAACTACTGTATTATTTATCTGCTCACTGTAGTTTAGACACTTGATTCATTATGTAGATTTCTGTGTGAGTATGATTGAGCACATGTCAATTTTTAATCTGTTCTCCCATTGATTGTAACACACAGACAATCAATAATTTATCCATACTTGATTAACACGCATAAAATATATATGGACTTTTAACACATACACATAATTTGTTTCCCTGTATGCTTGCTTCCTGTATGCTTGCGGATTTTGTCAATCTTTAACAATAAATTATCTCTATAACTGGTGTTCAGGCTTTTGAATAATCTCGAGTAAATCCAGAATTCTACTAGGAGATTCAGCCTGCATTAAATACTCAGTTAACGGGATACTATTTATTTGAGTCAGATATAGGGGAAATTAGCCTCTACACATGATCCGAAATGTAGACATAGATAAATTCAATAGTAGCAAGATTATGCGTATAATTTACACCCTTATTTTACTACATGTCAATTGCAAAACCAGATAGCATTTCAGGTCTCAGATAACGTTGCTTATTTATTTAAAACGTTGGTCAATGTATAAACATTGGAGAAAAACTTAAAAGTTACTTCCTTATGCACTAAACTTTTTACCTTCAATAAATCTTTTTGCAAAATTAGTCAGTTAAAGTACTCACACGACTTTTAAATAAGAACTATTTTTTATTATGTCAGTACAGTTACCACAAGTGCAGATAGCAATCATATTACTATGAATCTTTAGACTGTTTCAGTTTCACATTGATTTATATAATTAATTACCAAACAAGTTAGGTTATCTTCACTTGGTATTGTTTACTTGAATCTTCCCATTGATGTTTAGGACTGCAAATGATCAGTATCATTTTGGCATATGTTCATACTGTGGGTATATGGTACTGAGTTCGAGTCCCAGAGTGAACACCAACTCAGATGCAGGCACATCCAGCTGACGAGTCCCAAATAGGACGGAACGTGCGTAAAACTAGATTCCATTGCTAGCCATGATCCATTTTTACTTAGAATGCTTGTGAATTAAGGCAATATCAAGGCATTACTCACAGTATGCCCATATGTCAATAAGAGACTGATCAATTGCATTTCTAAATATTAATGGGAAGATTCAAGTAAACAATACCAAGTGAATTTAAAACTTCACCCCATTACACAAGCAAGTGGCTATCAGGACTCAGTAGCTAAGTGGATAACGCGATGGCGTTTGATGCAAACGGTACTGGATTCGAGTCACAGAATGAACATCAACTCTGAGATGCAGGTACATCCAGCTGACGTGTGCCAAATAGAACGAAACGCGCGTATTAGATTCCGCTGTTAGCCACCATCCATATTTGCTTATAAAGTTAGGTTATCGCTCAGTGTTTCTTTTCATTGAATGTACTCAAAAGAATTTCCTTTCTGATTGATGATATATATATATATATATAT